CCCCCCCCCCCCCAAAAAAAAAAAAATCACTGATGTCAAGATTATTTGATTTGAGTCTTGTATTGAGAAACACAGGTTTTAAGCGACTTGTTGGCATTAGGAAACAATATACAAACTTTTATTTGAAGAAAATGTCTCAGATACGACAATAACTTTGGTCATGTTAAAAGGAGGTCATCCAAGAATGAATAAAAATGAGCTGCTTTATAAGCATGGCCACATACAGTATATTCAGATATTAGCTAATAGAAGCTAAGGTTACACGCATAAATAGGCCTTAGTACCATGCAAGTTCAACGCAATTTCATACATTCATTATAAATTTTCAGTTATTTTCATGCCAAATCACCTTTTGGATAAAAAGGTAAGAAAGAAGTAACACCTAAATGTGACCAAAATTGAACAGAAAAAAAATTGTAAGTACAGACAACGTTTTTATTAAAAAGATCTTGAAATTACACCTGTTGAAGAAGTGTTATACCATCTCTGATCTCCTTCAGTGGGAATTAGTAGTGTTAAGCATTGTTACATATCAAAAAATACAACTCTGTTTTACAACATAGTACTGACATATTCAAAGTACTGTGCCAAATTATAAATAGTAAAATCAGGTTTTGAAGAATTTCAATAGAAAGCAACTTATGCTCACACAAACATATGCACATAGTATAGTCATATAACAAAAGTTTTATAAAAGGAAACAAATTTACCCCATGCCAGCTTGAATTACTGAGGTGGGATTCAATACCTACTATGAAGACTGACAGTTCATTTCTTTAAATATATTTATTAGTCTCTGGAAAAAATAAGACAAAAATTTACTTTCACCAGAATACACACCATTCTTCACTGACAATCCGTTTCTCAGTCATGACTGACATATGTCGGTTCGTATGAAAGTGGCTTTTTTTTGAAGACCTTGCAATAAAAAAAATGGTCCACTAGACTTCAAAAATTCAATCAGCTTCTGCTCAATCGCAGAATAATCCTACACATTGCTTCTACCTAGAGTAATCTTCATCATCTGTCATCTGTAATTGTAGACAGTCACATCTTCCACTGTGACTCAAGGTGCAGCTACAAGTAGAGAAGTGCTTAGATACTCAGTCACTTCAAATACACTTGAAGACTGCTTCTAGTGCATAATCAAATTGAAAATCCTTTTACTGATCATAATGGTTTGTCAATAACTGTAACACCTAGAGTGAGGAAAAAAAGGCATACATCTTTAAGTAGTATTTAACAAAAATTAAAGAATATGAAAATAAAGTTTTAATGTAATACGTTGCGTAACATCAAAAAACTGCACCAGCATCAGTGCATACTGATCATACTTTCCCTACTTGCTCTCTGACAGAAAGTTGTCTGAATCAGGGCAAGGTTCGGAAAGTTTCTGTAACTTGAAAAAATTTGCCATTACTCATGTTTACTTTCATTTTGTTATCAGTGAAATTATCAGTGAAATATATCCTTAACATTCACTTAAATAACTCATTTTAGAAACAGTAATTATTGAAGGAAAAGATTCCCGAAACAGTTCTTGTTTTCTAAATTTCAAATCCCGAGAGAAATTCAGAATTGGAGCCCTGTAGATTGAGACAAATCTCTTGTTAAAAAAAGGAATCATCTTTCTAACTCAGTACTTACATGCTAAATCCCTTGAGTACAGTTTAATACCATTTTTTTTCCTTGTAGTGAATAACTGAAGTCATCATTCAGAATGTATCATCAGAGTCTTCATGCCCATTCTAGTATCTTAGGTTTTACCTTAGACAGGCCTTTGGATGCTTTATCAAATTTCTTATCCTAGCTGTTATACTGTAAAAAGTCTGTTAAAACAATATCTGTATGCATTACCTGCATAGCTCCTTCCTGTACTCATACAAGATGACACAACTGTCCATTTATCAGTTGTTGGATTATAATATTCAACTGTTGATAAATTACAGGAACCATCATCTCCTCCAACTACATACAAGAGACCATTTACAGCACAAACACCTAAAAAATGATGGGAAACCAGTATGAAAATCAGAATTGGCTTGTTCACCCCAGAAGAGCATGCAACATCATGAAAGCAGCAGAAATACAGAAACATACCATTTACACCAAATGACATTACCACTATTTTAAAGTAATTGTTGTGTATACCTGCATTCCTTCTGCACATGTTCATGTCTGCAACCTGCTTCCACGTACTGGCAACGGGATCAAACACTTCAACACTTTTTCTTACCAAAGGACCATCATGACCACCTACCGCATACAATAAATTGTTTAACACACCAACACCTGTGAACACAGGAAAATACTCATAATTACCCAGAGAATGGTTTGACTGATACAAAGGAGAAACAACAGATATTACGTCCACTAACATAATCCTCCATCCAGTCAATGTTAGGAACTATTTTAGAAAATATGTGGGTCAGGATGCATTAAAGCAAAAAGACAGTAACTACAGCAAGACACGGATAAAATGTCTTGCACGCCCATCTACCATATTGCAGCATATAAAGACCAGAGCTGTTCTGCAACAGATTTAGAAAATTTTGGATGAAAAATGATGTGTGGGAAAATGAGGATTGTTGAAATTTAGGACTAATTAGAAGTGACAGTAAATGAGACAGTATGCTCAGCCAGCATAACGGAAATCTGACAAGATGATAAAGCGTAAGTGAATTTTTAGAACATAAAAACTGTGCAGTACAGAGGAGCAAAGCTGAATGGATAGACATTATACAACAGGGATGCTTCCACTGAAGTGTTGGAATACCTTGTAAACATATATATAAAACAAAAGAAAACAGTTAGAGTGAGCACCTTCCTCCTCCAGGATTTACAAAATACCTTTGCTCCTAGGCTCCCCTTTCAAACAAAAGTTTATCAATCTATAAGCTTGGGATGAAGGAATAAAGCTAGTCTGTATCTTCTTGCTAATTGGGCTGCACATATTGAAAAGATGGTAATAGAGAAAGCAAAAAGTAAGGCCTGTTTTGTTTATTCCTCGCTATATAATGCACTATTAGAACCCAAACATCATAGATTTCAGAAATGTAGAGGGTTTTTGCATTACAACTTATGAGTGATGGACCATAAAGACAACTGAAAAAAGCACTACTGTTAAAGTACATTGGGAAATCTACTATGTCACATTTAAGATTATTAACCTAAAAGCTGAGACAGATTTGTAAATATAGTTCTTAAAGGGTTTTTATGGAAAGGGCACAGCTTAAAATCGTTAATAAAGGGAAACAGGAACTATGAATGAGAAAGATCAGTCCTTCAGAGAAAAAAAAAATGCTGGGTTAAAAAAAAGAGAACCCTGAGAACTTAATAGCCAGCTGAAATATCTTTGAAAACATATCACTAATATTGTAGGGAAGAGCCATTCCTATATGGGGAGAAATAGCTGAAATAACTAAATTTTCTTATTAAAAAGACAGATTTTAATAATTAAAGAAAGTGAGAAGAAAACATGGAAGAGTTAATTGGTACCACAAATCTGAAAAATAGCTTCTTAATAAGACACTGTTTTATAAATCATGCTATCTAATGCTTTATCAGTGATATTCACTACTAACATTTCCCCATATCCTTCCCAGTTAATTTAATTTCTTTTATTGCTATTATTTCTAGCTATCATGTCACAGTATAGTGTGACAGATTTTCTTTCTCCCACTCTGATCACACTTTATTAGGCAGGCTAATACAACATTCATCTTGTGTAGGATTAAACATTACAGAGCTAGGAGGGCGGCTAAGATTTTTAGTTTAAATATATGATGTGATGTAAATCCCCCCACCCAGGCTTTCCGTATAGTTATCCACCTTCCTTTTCAGTGTGTAGAGCTTTTCCCCTGCCACACTGACATTTTTAGTTTGATAGGTCCTTATTTTTGATAATGTCCTCTGTTGTTCTTTGGTGCTTCATTTTCCCTTAATCCCACACCCAGTTTCCAAGTCCTACCTTAATTCTTGCTCCTTCCGTCTGTATCCTCTTGTTGCCGTCTTCCGAGTTCTCCTTTCTTTGTTATTTTTCTTCCCTGCCCATTTTTCAGGACCCTGTCTTACATCTCTCATCCCTCCCAAATGGCCTATATCTGGATCTGAAGCTCCTCATCCCAATATGTTGCTGGGAACAGATCTGTCCCTGTATTGATCAACTGAGCAGCAGTTGGTACTAAAGAAGAATAACTGAGGGTTAACCTCTGAAGTTGCTTTTGAATGAAGCTGAAGCAGTAGGAACAGAAGAGACAGGCTTAAGTTCCTTGAGATGAACAGAGATCCAAAGGTATCATACAGGAACAAAATTCTCTTTAGTTAGCACCCACAACACTACCAGGACTACTGATCACCAGCTGAAACAGTTCTGGTGGTTTTGGATATTTGGCCACTACAGTCAAGCTCAGTCAATAGTCATGATTTTCACATTACCACCAACACCTCCCCCACGCACAAATATAATCTTCCATGTTAACAGAGTGGCACAGAAGTATGTTATTTTACTCAATTATATGAATCTGAAATAACTGACTACTTTTCCGCTCCAACTTTTTTTTAAATCAGAGGACAAGATAAAAGGCAGCAGAGAGTGAGTAAACACAGTCCTAAACTTTGGGACCAGGGGACAGAGGAGAGGGGCAGAAAGATCCCAGTAGTTAGTGTATCTAAGGCACTAAATTTGAGAGTTGTAGAAGTAATTCAGCATTTAAAAAAAAAAAATCTGAAAATATCTAGTGTATAAATACGCTACAAGCACAACAGTAGTTTGCAAAAGAGAGTATTTAAAATAAAAAAAGCTGAGATAAAATGGGTGTGCAGGCAGATTGCAAAATGAGGCTTTGTCACAACCCACCAGTGCTATTTATAGAGATATTTGTAATTTTTCCATTTATTTATCTAAATATTTTCCTCAAAACTTGCCAATATTAGGCAGGAGCATGTAACAGTACCCTTACTGCCACTCTGGCCAGTTTTTAATCCAGAATTTACTTCCAAACTGCACAGACTAGCAAGAAGTTTCACAAGGTAACTATGTTTTCCTGAGATACGGTGCATCATGCTTCCTTCATTAACATCATAGTTTTAGTTTAGAAACATGATCAAATCATTACTTTTAGCAATAAGAGACATATCTACTTGCTGATTTTCTAAGGGCATAATGGAAGTATCACAAACTATGTATCTTAATTTTAATGATTTTAATATATTTCTTTCAAAATAATTTTAACTTAAACATCATTATACAGATTAAAAACTGTTCAGAATTAATAAAGAATAATGGAAAGATGAAAAGTTGGCATAACTGTTAATCATCTACTGAGCATACTAGAAGTCCATCCAGTTTTATTTGTAGTGACATCTCTTCCAATTATGAAGCACATTAATGCAATCGCCAGTAGATCTTTGAAGGCTGTTGCTAAAAAGCACCATTGAGTACTTGGCAAAAAAGTGACAACTAAAAAAAATAAACACAGAAAAATTGTATCATGCAATTTGACTTGAAAAAGTCCATGGGAACGCATCTAGAGAAATAAAACAACAACTTCTGCAAGTTGAAAAAACCTGAAATACCAAAAGACAAATAGAGGACAGTGAACAGTAAATGAGATTTGAATCCATAATATAAATAGATAATGAAAATGCAAAAATCAATTTGGAGCTGTGGAAGCATCATTTCGTTAAACAAAAGCAGAATACCACAGGCACTTTTGATGTCTTTGAAGAGAAATATACATACTCAGAATCACAAGAAGGAAAAAAAAAAACAACCAAACAACAAAAAAGTAAAGGAGGAGTTTTTAAGATTATAAAGAAATAAACGGATATACCTTGGCTCAACAATAAAGAAGGGTAACATGTAATAGCCTATACATATTCAAAGGATGTAAACACCTGGTGATGTGAAGAATTACTGAAGATGAAACAAAGGGTACATAAGTGGAAGTAATAGGATGAAACCAGTAATACAAACTTAAGAATGAACAAGGGCAAAGTTTCCTGCAGTGAATCAAAATGCAGAACAAGTCCTCCAAAGAGGTGCAAATCTAGCCACAGTTTACAAGTAAAGTCAACCTGAAAATGCTATTAGAAAAATCAGCCCTACACTGGCAAAGAGACATCTTTGAAGAAATGACATTTTTTTCATCCTGGCCGTGTAGATTTTGATACTTCAGTATTTAGATGATATTGTCACAATCCATGCATATTAGTCTGTATGTTAAAAACATCATAAGTTATGAGAAGAGGAGTAAAATGAGACATATGAAAAAGCAAGGAAAGATATTTACTATTAACAGACTGAATCTTACTCTGTAGGACAGTTTTATGTTTATAACCTGCAATATATCAGCCATCTAAGACTAACACATTCCATTAAACTCAGACTTCAGCTTACCTTTTATATTTTTAGATACGTTTTAAAACCACAAATTTGTTTGCTTTACACGGTTAGTTGATTCTTGTTCACTCACCTGCTCCACTCCGTCTAGTGCTCATTTCTGCAACATAGGTCCACTCATTTGTATTAGCATCATAGCATTCTACTGAACTAAGGCACTGACGTGATGCCCCATCGTAGCCACCAACAGCATACAGTTTACCTAGAAGGGTAACCAAATTTCTAATGCACACAGACTATACTGGTACACAGGCTGTGGGGAAGTCATTGTTCTCTGAACTAGCTACCAATCATTATCTGTCATCAATCAGTTACTGAGTTTCTATTTTGCAAACAGTTTAAGACAGTATGCTATAGTTCTTGACATTATAGGATGGAAAAGGCACCCAGTATCTAAAAACAACGTGACTCAAAAGGTTTTGAATTGCCTGGCTGAAATACAGAAGTACTTTACCCTGATTTTAATTAAAAATTGTTGAAAACCAAGCTAATTCAAGTATGTCCAACACTGGAAGCTTGCAAATATGCCTCCTAGGAACATCAAAAATTAAGATGAAAATTATTTGTACAGTCTGCATTTTCAGATCAGAAACAGAAGTGGTTCCCAGGCAGTTAAAATGCATGCCTAAAACTGTTTCCACACCTAAGAGCCAAGCCCAGGTCTGAATTGTGCATGTGACATCCAGGCTATTCACCACCAAGCTGACTTGAAAGTCAAGAGTTTTCCTGGCAGTGTCCCTGAGATCATCCCCAGCATGCAACCCGCAAAGTCAGCCACAGGTAACAGAATTAACAATAGTGCAGTGCTACATCACTAAAGACCAATTTATAAGGTCATCACAGTAATCAGGCACTCTAGCTTTGCTGACATGCCTAACCTAGAGTATGCATGCTTATCGAGCTTTTCCTTAGTTTGCCCCAGGCACAACTGAAGGTCTGAAAAGAAATTTAAAACAACTATGCTAAAAAAGCTGGTCTAAACCAAGTAGAACAATTATGTATTGTTCATATCATTTGAATTACAAGGCTGAACAAAAAGATGAATCTAAAGTATGTTTGAAAAGTGAGAAAAGGTAGTAGGGTAAAAGATTACACTTCCCCCCCTTCTTTTTAGTATCATTTGTCAACTTACCTCCAACAACACCTACACCAACACTACTTCTTCTTGTGTTCATTGGAGCTACATGAAACCACTCATTAGTCTTTAAGTTGTAAACTTCAACTGATGATAAACCTATGAAGACAATATAACATTATTTTCTCTATAAATCTAGGTGCAACATACTGTCTACTTCCAGAAAAATCTTCATATCTGAAAAATCAAATTATTTCATTTTAAGGACTATTAATTACTGTGCAAAAGGCACAACTGATGTCCTTTAGATAACCAGTTACAGTCAACCCATTCTTGGTGTCTGAAAACAGGCAAATTAATAAAAGCTTTTGTGGAACTCTGAAAAATTCTTCCCTGGATATTTTTTTTTTCTTTTTAATTAATTCACTCTCTCTTACATATGCTTCAGTATTAGTTATTAAGGAAAAGGATCATCTCTGCACAAATGGTTTAATGCACATGTGAAGAGAATGAACAGTGTATGTCCAAAGTCTTCTCACAGGTCAGAAAAAGCTGTTTGTAATCCTATTTACAATACATCAAAATGCAAAGATACATTTCACACGCAAACAGGACAAAAGGGACAGGTAATTTTTCTGCTTACATCTTCCATGAATTAAGGACTGTATGACTACAGAAGCAATACTGAAAGGGAACTTGTCAAAGATTCACTAGTCATTAAGCCTATACTCTGAGACAGGAGCAGACATTCCATTGTTGAGGTAGAAGATGCCAGGCTACCCTTATGCTTGGTTTCATCACAGCTTCCAGGAAAGAGATCAAATCTGATACTATTACATCAAGACTAGTCAAAGCTAATCAGTAGCATATAAAGGCAAAACTACCTGTACTCCCATCAAATCCTCCCACAGCATAAAGAAGGCCATTTAATACAGCTGCTCCCAATGTGCTTCTCCTATCTTGCATATTGGCAACACTTGTCCACTGGTCCTTTACTGGATCATAGGAATCTACTGTGCGAACTCTCAAAGAACCATTGAAACCACCAACAGCATAAACCATGCCTCCCATGTACACCATTCCTAGAGCAGAGAAATGGGGAGGAAAGATGAGCGTCTTAGTCTCTTTGTCAATTAATTGTATTCCGTACTGTCGTAAGTAAGCAGATACTTGACACAATTTACAGTACTCACTACACTATCAGGCTTCTGACAGTGTCATAGAGCCACACTTCATTCAGATTAAGCACTAAAAGTTCTGACATTTTTTGTTACTAATAGCTGACACTTCTGAACATCATGCTTGCTGAATTTGTTCTTGCTCAGATATATCGTCTACTTTAAGATCACATTTTCACATTTTTAGTATCAATTGGTCACTCTGTCACATTCTTAACCTCATATAATAATAACAGGGTATTTTAATTGTAAAATTATTATTATTATACAGTAATATTTAAATTTCTTTATTCTCTGTGTCTATGTGACACAGTAAAGCAATTTATTCTAGAGATTACAAACAGAAGCACAAATTAAGATCAAGTTATCAAGTTTGTATTGTTCAAGATTAGCAAGTAATCTGAATTTTAAGAACGATCACTGAAGTCAAGGCTTAGCCCTTCTCAGATAAATATCTTAAGTATTGTTCCAAAGAACATACGATGCTTTATACAGACACCTAAATTCTGAATCACTGCCAACCACAACAGAATATTAAGAATCATTTACCTGCTCTACATCTTCTGGAAGGCAATTCAGCTACCTGATGCCAGCGTTCTTCTTTAAAATCATAGCATTCAACACTGCGAATTGCCTTTGGCGCCTGTCCTCCAACTACCATCATCAACTAAAAGGGAGATAAAAATATTCATTAATTGTTTGCCTATATGAGAGCCCTGAAAGATCAAAAAGTGTTAAAAATCAAACAAGCTTCTGTACAAGAACTAATTCAAGAATGGTTCTCCTAAAAGAAGAAATGTGAGTCTTGGAAAATAGGTAAAATTCTTTTCTTTTCTTTTTTTTTTTTTTCAAAACACACATGCAATTTGTAATCATCGTACAGAGGAAATTTCTGAATTAGAAAAGCAGGAAGCAATTAGAGTCTAGGTGGAGCTCCCCTGAATGGGGCAGATCCTGCTGTATCTACATCCTACTCTTGACCTCAGATAAGAGAATTCAGCATCTATGATGCTCAGTGGAACTATGACCATCACAGAATCTGATTCCTTTGAGAGAAATGTGCTAAATCTGCTGAATGGAATCTCCTATTCCAATACTGCAGTTGCCATGCTATCAGAAAAATTCTTCACTGGAAAGAAGATAATATCTGATGTTCTGTTTTCTTCTTCTAAAATGAATGAAAGACTATATTTTGGTAAAAATTGAATAAATGCCCCAACTTGGAAGCATCAAACTTTGTTATGGTTGTTTTTTTTTTTTGTTTGGGTTTGTTTTTTTTTTAAAAAAAAAGAAACATGATTACCTCCTCTTTAAAACCAGGCCTATAATTTTATATTTCTCAAATGCTGAAGGGGAGCGGGGGGGAAGGCACAACAGAGGACAACACTACAGAGACAGTATGTAGGGAGGGTAGGTGGGAAACTAAAACATCTGTATCACAAGTAGTATGGAGTAGAAAGAAATCACTTGTTACTTTTTTTGTGATAAATAATTCTGGTATGAGAATTTTTACTGGAACACCCCAAGTGATGGTCATGTTCTCAAGAAATCTGTTAAAATAGAGTTTGAAGAAATAAGTACATTGGAAAAATAAGGCTCTTACTTTTGGAAGGCTAGCAGGTGTTCTCAATTTTGTTCGAGTGCTTTTCATCAATGCTCGTTGCTCAGTTGGCAGCAAGTGATACTTCATAGCTTCAATGAGGTAATCTTTACAAGCACTGCTGTTCTTAACCAATATTTCTTCTTCAACTCTCTGTTTATTAATAGAAGTTTAACAAGGTCTGAGCATGTTAAGGAAGTAAAACACAAATAACAATCTGAAATGTAATAAAGCTTGTGTTACATCACACGAATGCAGATTACTCTGATTTTTTAGACTGTAATTTAACCACAGTTAGACACAAATTTATGTGATGGCAATATGCAGTCATTGAAAAAAAATGCTGATTCTCCTAACTAGTAAGTAGAAGAAACAGTGTTAGGCAAGGTAAATAATTTCTTGAAGCACACTTCTTGACTTTTCAAATACAGATAGGACAGAACACTTTGGGGGGAGGGAGAATAATTTAACAAACTAATAAACCATCCCACAAAAATAAGAAACCACAACAGCAAAACAAAACATAAAAACATAAAGTCAACCAAAAACCAACCAAAAAGACAACCCACATGAAGTGCAGGAAATTCATATCACAAAACCAGAATTTCTAAAACAAACACCTATCAACATGCTACTACACCTACTAAACAATGCTAATAGTGAACTCATTTTTTAATCTTAAATATTTTAGCCGACACCTAAACATTCAAAATGATCTTATAAAATTTTAAAAGATATATTATATCTGAACCAGGTAAAGAATTGTTTCCTTTACCAGCAAGTCTGAACCAACAATAGATTCAATTCTGAAACCTAAAATTCACTTATAAGAAGTAGTGTTGTATCAAATATCATATTAAAAATGAAAGCTAACCTGTTCTCAGCAAATTAAATCAAATTACCAGTGTAGCATGACAGTCAGCCAAACAGATAAATTACTTGTATATGATATCCTCTGTATGTGTGTATGCACATGCATATGTAATGGTGGCTGTCTGTTTATTTTTACTATAACACACTACAATACACTGTTGCAAAAACAAACTGAAAAATTCACATGCAGAAAAAATAGTATTAATTTTTGCTTACCTGAACTAAATATTCACGGGAAAGCAAAGGCAGACGAACATGTTCCATCAGGCGTGCCATTAGCTCCTGCCTTACATCTTTGTCATGGTTTACCCACGCTATCACTGCTTCAAATACCTTCCAGGAAACAAACAAATACAAGTCCCTTGACTTACAAATTCAGTAGTATGAAAATATCAGTATGCCTTCAAAAACAGTTCTTGCTTATACTAAAATTCCTAACATGAAAAAAGACAACAGCAGTGACAGCTCCCATTATTTTCATATTTACCCACTACAAAATTCTGAAAATGCACTAGCCAGTCTCTTTATATCACTCTTCTACTGGTGTTTCAAGGATAGCTACGCTACATTTAAATGCACACAATAATTTCCTTTATACTGAAAATCCAATAAAACTAGGTAAACACACACAGCAGCAGGGATATTACAGTCCTCATACTTTTCCCTTCTTGGAAATCGACCTGCCACATCATAATTCAAATGATTTATTGTCTTTGAGTCTTACTAGGAGAAGCAATCCCAAGCCTAGTTTCTTCTCTATCGCGCAGCAGCTCATCACACACTAGAGCATTAAAACCTTAATTAGACTCCACAGAAGCAGCATCCCATGTATCAAAATCAAAGTGATAAAACCTGACCTTCGGGGTATTACAGGAACAGCAACATGACTTTGCTAGTTGCAGTTTAAGCAGATAGTTCTTAGATTCAAAGTTTCAAAAAGGTTTTAACACAAATCACTAACTAGCCATACAAATCAGCATTCAAACATGCTTTTGAATACAGTTTAGCCTCATTTGAACACAGGTGTTAGTACAGCTATATACTTCTTGGAGAAAAGAAAACCAACATATTTTAAATTGATCACAACTGGATTCCAAATGAATACATCTACAACCTGAAAACCATTAGAGGTTTAAAGAGGTGAACTAGGCTCACTGAAGGTCACCGAGTTTCAAAAATGCATTTGAACGAATGAGATCCAGCTAAAGGCGAGCCAACATGTATTTAAACTCAAGTTTGGTTATACCAAGCTATAGCCATCTCCTTTGCAACCCACATCTGTTCAGTTAGGCTAAACAGCCCACATATTACATACAGTTTTAACACCTTTGTGGAACTGCTGATGTTAAAAGTTAGATAGCATATACTTGCTCTTCAAGCTACTATTTTTGAGTTATTTATCCCTTGGCAAACCAAACTCCTGTGTATGTGACTCTCAGCATGTGTTCTGCTTGAAAATGTGGAAGAATTTCCATTTATTTTAGTTTCCATATTTTCAAAGAACAAAGAGTTATGTGTAATACCATTTAAAGATTTTTAAGAGTTGAGATTAATTTTCAACATCAGACAGACAAGACTTTTGGGAAAAACTGTTAACACAACATGAGCACAATACATGCCTAATTTCACTGAGGAAACAAAGAACACATCCAAACAAGTGTACAAGAGCAGCAAGAGCTCTCTCATCCAAAGGATAAAAAGAATACTGAGATACTGATGGTCTTACCTTCTCTTCTGAGGCAATTGTGAGTTTGTCACTGGATATAAGACTGCACACCTGCTCTACACCAAGATTGAGGTATTCTTCACTAAGTACGACATCAGAAAAGTGCTGTTCTGTTTGGAGGAAAAGTAGTACTCTAACATACAGTGCTAAGTGTATCCCAAAACAAGCATTAAAGCAGCAGAGGAAAAATAGAGGAAAACAAGTCAATATGCATGCTATTTTGTTATATCTAGAAGCAATTCATTAAAACATTTTACATAGGTAAAGCTTGGTCTCACAGAGTTTATATCTAAAGATTCTTGAAAATAATTGAAATATTAAAACACACTATACAAACAGTAGGAATCATAGCAAATTAACATTTTCATCATTGTTTCATCTCAGGACTTGTCTTTGACAATTACTTAAATATCACTTTGCTAACTCTGTACACATAAATGCAGCAAAAAAGATTCCAGAAAAAGAATATGCCCTCTACACTGCTGACAAAGATGTTTTAAATCTGCAGTTCAACATGAACAATGGCTGATTCATTAAAACTAACCATCAGGTCAAATTAAACAGGTCTGTATCCTGTTGCACCTCTCAGAGCTTCTCCAAGGTCATAAAAACATCACATATCACAATCTCTACAATGTGTACAAGATGTGTAGTTTTTCCTCTTTTTTTTAATGCCTCAACTTAAAGTAAACAAAACTGACAAAATTCAATGTTTTGGTTGTAGAGCCATTTATCAAGTTGTCGTTCAGTTATTCAGTTGTTCTCTCCCTTCCTTAAAATTGCTTTTTTAGCCATTCAACTGCTTAAAAAGTAGCTCCTTCCAGTTAACTCTTATTTTTTTCTCTCTTCAGCTATTCTTAACAGAAGTTAGAAGGGACAACTGTTACTGGGAATTTAAAAATTCATTAAAAATTAGAACAAGTAAAAAAAGGTCATTGAACATATTCAAACTAAAGAACTTTTTAAAGCCTTTTCTATCACACCACTAGTGCTACTATAGTTAAGACTGTGTTTGACCGACTGTCTTAAGCAGTTAAAAAAAATTAAAGAATGCTAAATGCTTCCAGATGAAGAAGTCTAAATTTTTCAGGTCAACTTTGCCCAGTACAACAGCTTTTTTTTTGCACTATAATAAAGATTAGACAGCATAAAAAGATAAAATTTAACACAGTATAATTCTTGTCTTTTATCTAGATCAGCATCCTGTTCCTTGAAATGGGCAGCACAAATTGCTTCAGACAAAAGTCCAAGAATATGTATGAAAAGTATAATAAAACTTCGTCCCATAAAGGTCTTACTATAACCATGAAAGATTAAAGACTGGTAGACAGAAGGATATTTTACCTTAACCACATTTTACTAAACATTGAGTTTCGTGAGATACAGTCTAGTCCCCTTAAATCCTGTTAAACTGTTGACTTTAATACCTTCCTACAGTAATAATGCCACAGCATCACTGAACAAAAAGCTGCACATCTAAATTTAAGACCCAGTTTACCATTAATCAGTTGTCAATTAATATCCCTATGTTCTAATACTGAATATGATGATAGGGAAAGCTTCAACCTGTCTACTCAAAATCATTAATTATTCTATATTCTTTTTCAGCCTTCATTTCTATTTAAAGTAGATAGTCCTTGCCTTTTCAGTCCCTCATCCTACCAGCCTTTTCATTCATACAGTCATCATCACTACAAGTCCCTCCAATTCTGCAACATTCTCTTATGATGAATTCATAGTGTTTTCTGACGTATTTCAGGCGATGGGAGAGAAAGGAGGAGGAGAAATACTATTGATTTTTGTAACACAGTCATTACTTTTCCACTCCTTACAACTCTTTATGTCTGCTGTTCAGGCTACAAATATGCAGTTTAAGCTGAACTAGAATTTTCTGAGGTACACTTATTATCTGATTAATTTTACTATTTAAATATGCTAAACAGAAATTGAGAAAGGTAATTTGCAGAACTTAGTTTTATGATAAAATCAAAATTTCAAGTGACAGTGCCACAAAACATCATGACTGACTGTACTCAGAGGCTGAGTTAGGAAGCAAGCAGAAAGGGGAGGCAACACTCATCTAAATCTCAAACAAATCTGAGGTTCAGATGCCTTGTCCATCTTTCCTTGAGAAAGCTGATCCAACAGCGTATCACAGGCAACAGAACACACTTCATATACTAGAAATACCCAGTTGATCTTATAGACTCATATACAAAAGCCTTGCTTTTTCAAAGTTGAATTTGTTTTATGACATGGTCTAAATAGAAAGAGATCCAGCCTCTAAAGCAGAAAAGTTGAGAATTTTCAAAGTAATACAATAAATGTGAGGCTGTCTTCTCTTTTCATGCTAGGAGAACTGTAGAAGGATATCTGAAAAAAACAGACTACCTGAACAACAACTAAGACAATTTTACTAGATGTCAGACTCTGTGCTTAAAGCATAAAATAAGGCACATGGCCAAGAGAAGAAAGAGGAGTGAAAAAAAGGAGAAATTAAAACAAAGTACTCAGTCAATATCTGAAAGCTCAGGTCTTCAAGCAATACCTGGAAATGAATCCTCAGCCAAATGAATTAAGAAAAAAGATAAATAGGAGACAAGATTGCTATATAAATCTTATTCATCAAAAAAAGAGGCAAAGTGAAATCACTTGTCTCTTAAGAACCAGATCGCTTGTTGTCAAGGAGACCATCCTAAATGACTGATAGATAACCTTTTGGCAGAAGCCAACTGAAATTACAGCTAAATGGATTATTCAAAATAATTAGAAACTGTAAAAGAACAAGGAAATGCAAAAACACCACTTAAATCTGCCAATAGCAATTTATCTAAAGCTATTCAAGTGTTGAAGACAGAAGGCATTATTTTATTATATATAAATCTATATGCTTATGAAATGCAAACTTTCTGCTTCCTTTTAACAAGGGTATCAGCATCTTTGAAATAATATGATTCCATACAAAGAGTTCCAAAAATCCCACTTAGATCCTCTTTTCCAAATAGCAGACAAAATAGTATTGGGGTTTTGTTTTGGTTTTTTGCCTTCTGGGTTAGGATTTGTATTATTCCATACTATTGCTCACATCCTGAAAGCTTTGATAATCAGGAGATATTAACATCAAACATCATGAAACTTAAAATATGATCAAATGTTTCATGCATCTGTCCCCTGCAAAATCCCAGTCTAGCTTGGTTTTTATTTGGTGCATTAGGTAACGTACAACTATCAACTTGGGTTTTATTTGTTGCATTAGGTAACATACAACTATTTTCATGAACATCTCCTAGATAAGCAAACAGGTAGAACCATCTGGCTGGAATTTTTCATGAAACTAAAATACTTATTTTTTCCAAATCAGAATTTTCCACACAGTGTGCAACTTTGACAAATTTGTATTGGAATCCTCCCCACTTCTTGCCACTTTACCCAGGCATTGAAGCCAGCTGGCTCCAGAGTCAGGCAGCCTGGAAACAAGCTGGCTTAGTAGCTCAGAGGCCTGGCTCCCAAATTCCCACTTCCTAAGCAAGTAGAATCCTACTTCTGTATTATTAAAACTAAAATCTGCCTTAAAAAAAAAATCCTTTCCATTTTAGGACACTTCTAAAATATCTGTTCCAATTGCATATGAAAAACAGATTTTCACATTTTCGCAACAGATAGAGACAGTTTCTATCTGAACAGCTAAGGAGCTGTCCTTGTCTGCCCTGTACCAGTAGGATGGGAAGCTTCAGGGACAAACTAAAAAGACAAAAGGGAAGTTCTTAACAACCTGAAAGGGTATAACAAAATGTTTGGAAGTACAATAAACAGTTCTAGCATGGAGATCACAAGAAGATAATAATAGCTGTAAATGTACACCTTGTGGTATTTTTCATTATGAGTCTGGAGATGTGTATTATACATACACATCACAGCAGTAAGCTGGGTCAAGTAGCACTTGACCTACCTCTTATGGAGCAGATCATCTTGAGTGCCATCATGTGGCACATACAGGACAACCAGGGGATCAGGCCCAGTCAGCATAGGTTTATGAAGGACAGGTCCTGCTTGACTAACCTGATCTCCTATGACAAGTTGACCCGCTTATTGGATGAGGGAAAGGCTGTGAATGTTGTTTACCTTGACTTTAGTAAGGCCTTTGACACCATTTCCCACAGCATTCTCCTGGCAAAACTGGCTGCTTGTGGCTTGGATGGGCACACGCTTTGCTGGGTAAAAATGTGGCTGGATGGCCGGGCCCAAAGAGTTGTGCTGAATAGAGTTAAATCCGTTTGGAAGCTGGTCCCAAGTGGTGTTCCCCAGGGCTCAGTGTTGGGGCCAGTTCTGTTTAATATCTTTATGAATGATCTGGACAATGGGATCGACTGCACCCTCAGTCAGTTTGCAGACAACATCAAGTTGGGCAGGAGTGTTGATCTGCCTGAGGGTAGGGAGGGTCTACAGAGGGATCTGGACAGGCTGGAGCAATAGGCCAAGGCCAACTGTATGAGGTGGAAGAAGGCCAACTGCTGTCTTCTGCGCTTGGGTCACAACAACCCCATGCAATGCTTGGGGAAGAGTGGCTGGAAAGCAGCAGAAAAAGACCTGGGGGTATTGGTCAACAGCTGGCTTAATATGAGCTGGCAGTGTGCCCAGGTGGCCAAGAAGGCAAATTGCCTCTGGGCTTGTGTCAGAAATAGCCAGCAGGACTAGGGAAGTGCTCATCCCCCTGTACCCAGCACTAGTGAGGCCGCAACTTGAATCCTGTGTTCAGTTTTGGGCCCCTCACTCCAAGGAAGATACTGAGGTTCTGGAGCATGTCCAAAGAAGAGCAATGAAGCTCGTGAAGGTTCTAGAGAACAAGTCTTTTGAAGAGCACCTGAGGGAACTGGGGCTTAGTCCAAAGAAACGGAGGCTGAGGGGAGACCTTATTGCTCTCTTCAACTACCTGAAAGAAGGTTGTAGTGAAGTGGGTGTCAATCTCTTCTCCCAAGTAACAAGTGATAGGACAAGAGTAAACAGCCTCAAGTTGTGCCAGGTGGGATTTAGATTGGATATTAGGAAAAATTTATTCACAGAAAGGGTTGGCAAGCATTGGAACAGGCTGCCCAGGGAAATGGTTAAGTCA